CGTACTCATCACTGTGTGTGGAATTTCTGAGTGGGGGAAACTCATACAATCAAAATTGAAATATCATCTTCTTGTTAATTGTTTCCAAACAGCAGTGCAGTTCACTAGTAAGTACAAGTCTAATGAATATGTAATTATAGTAAGCACTGCAGTGTAAGCAGATTGTGTACCCAACACTCATATTCTTTACTTCAATAAGGCATATTTATCTTGTTAAGTGTTTTTTTAAGTGGCACTCGTCGCGTGTCCTTCGCTGTTACAGATGCCGCATTTCATGAGTTTTGGATCTGCAGGAAGTCAGGTGACTTGTAAGTATGTGAGTTAAGTAATTTAAAACTTTAAACAACTTATAAATAATTCAACAAGACCCATCCCTCCACCCCAACCACCTCCCAACTCTTTATGCTACTTCACCTGATATTTTTTTCTCTACGACACTCTGTCTCTGCACAATAGAAGTCAGTACAGAGTTAAACGACACGCAAAAAGCAAAAAAGTGTATAAGACATTGACGTGTTATTCATACGCCATTTGGTGATACCGAATTGTCACAGCTGTGTCCACCAATTTCCATAACTTTCCAAATCCAACAATCCAACGTGAAGGGACAATGGAGCAAGGGTTTGAATTTCTCTCTCGAGCTCTCTTTGATCATTCTTGACACAACAATTTCTGTCACATTTCATGTGAACAACTGAGTGCAACACCACGAACGTCTTCTAGGAGAGACTATCTGAAAATGCGTGCGTCTCCACCAGCTCTGTAGGATGGTAAACTTGTCACTCCACCTTCTAATGTGACAATAAGTGAAAATAAGACAGCATAAACCCTGTTTCTCCTGGTCATTCTCCCCCTATTTCAGCTGTATTGAGTCTCTCTCTTTCTCTCTGGATTACTCTCTCTCCGTGGACATTACAACCCTCTGATTGACGGGACACCTAGTGTTATAATGATAATGTTTTTTCTTTTATTTAGTTTGATTATATTTGCTCTTTATATATTTGCACTCTGTCCTACCTTGTACTGCAACTGCTGCATAACAATTTCTAGTGAGAAAGTACTTTCTTATCATATTATATAAAGAACCCCAAAATAAATGTGGTGAGTTGTTGATGTCCAGCCTGGATAAATATACAGAGCAGTATTATTTTGTCAGTTCTTTTTTTTTTTTTTATTTAGTGTTAGTCTTAGTCCTGTGTGAAATGCCCTTGGTAGTCATATTTAGTCAACCTCATCCTGTTTTTTTGTTTTACTTGACTAAAAGTCTGAGCATTTTACTCTTATCTTAGAAAACTGTAACTCTTTTAGTATAGTTTTAGTCAATGAAAACTGTTAAGTCTTTTCAGTCCTGTCCAGCGGAAACCATTACTTTTTTTAGAGAGTTTTAAACAAAATAACTTGATAACTGTTATTGATATCAAGTGCCATCACTTCCAGGTGCATTGACTCGAGGTGTCTCCTAACTGAATCAAGGAGAAAAAGTTTGACTCCACAGCAGCGGGGCTGATTGAAAGCCCCACTGCTGCAAACACATCTGGACAGGTGTGTCTCAAGAGTCAACACACATACAGAGATTTGCACATTTTCGATTTGGCTCAGCAGCTGTTCCTCTCCACTCCAGCTCCCTGCATGCCATCACCTTATTACGCTCTTATTAATATAATATCATTAAATGTTCCCCTGAACATCTGAGTGCAGAAATGTATACGCACCTCCTAACGTTTATTCCTTTTGGCAGGGCCAAGTCCGGAGAGATCTACTGCGGAGTCGAACTGATTATTTGTTGGGATGTGGTGGAGTGTGAGTGGGTGGTTGGGGGGAGGGGAAGGGGTTGCATTGAATCATTTCATGTATTTATTATCCGTCCTCTAGCTTTGGCTCAATCCTGCATCTCCTAGATCAGGTAGAATAATGGCCTCCATAACCTTGGGCGTCGGTGGCCTCTGAGAACTCTCTCTCTGCAGCCTCCCCCCTTCGCTATCTTTTCATTACATGTCTGTGGAAACAAGGCGCAGATCAGATAGTAAACAGAAAACGCTCATGTGCAGGCACACTCCCACATGCTTTAAGGCAGTATTTCTCTCCACATCAGGGTGACAAGAAGAGGCATCCTGAATTGATTGGGACATAATGAAGGAAGGCTGGGAGCGGGGGATCGATGCAGTGGGACACTGTTGACGGAAACAGACAACACAGGGCTGGGTGCTTCACTTACACACAAGGCCAGTCTGGATACAAAATCTGTCAAGATCTGGATGTGAGTCTGCATTCTTATCTTAATACATTGATCATTTTGATTGCTGAATATTTCTTTCTGTGGTGAATCTCTTCACATTTTTTGCATTTTGAAACATAAAACAGTCCACAGCTCTGAAGAATCCAATGACAAACACAGGATTTTTCCCTCTAACTGGGTCTGAAAAGGCATTTACTGTACACAACCTTGGGACACTAAGCTTCTCCACTGAAAAACAGACCAACAAAGGTTTTTAAGGAGATTTAGTAGCCCCTTAAGGCACGCAAAGAGGCTGTTTTTGCAGGTTTACAGGCTGCTAGCTATTTGAAATAAAACTAATATGCCTGTTAGGACTGTTGCAAAAATAAAGTCAGAACCTGTGCATGCAAAACATAATAAAAGACAAGACGTCCAAAGTTGCACTATTATATTTTTATAGCCTGTAATAGTTTTGTTGTTTGGCTTGTGCACGTTATTTCTAGCTGTAAAAGCGCACAATCATTTTCTGATCCTCTTCACGGTGAAGAGGGGGTGTTATTTAGACCTGTATACACATAAGAATGTGGACATTTGAGCGGACTAAATCATTACACAGACATGTGATAGTTGAACATGACAGTCCAAAATCATGAGCAAGCTGCTGCTGTAACATATAGTATAATAATATCCTCATGTCTTCCCGAAGGCTTTTAAAAAGAGTTTGAAACTTCCAGGGAGTTGCTCTTATTCAATCGCAAGAGCATTAGTGAGGTTGGCCTGTGATGTTGGGCGACAAAGGACTCAGTATGATTAAATTAAAGAATCTGAATCCCTCTTCCCAACAGGAGAGCATCGGGGGAGGTGCATCCATCAAATTTCTGAAACAGACATTCTGACAGTCTAGTATCCAGACACTGTAGTGTCTGGTCTGGTGTGAAGAGGTTCTACTACTTCTATCACTTTTCATGAGCACGACCATAAATCGAGGAGAGACTGTGCGGAAGTGTCCCCTGTTGTCCCCATTTGTACGAATCCTTGCATCTTGCCCTTCTCTGTGATGGCAGTCTTTTAGCCCACCCTTCAAGTGTAGCTATCAAACCCCGTACTATTTATGTCAGGTCAGGCTTTATTCAGCATTATCCATTCAATGCACAATATTTACATTCAGTCATTACCTTTCTATAGAGTAATTTTTATATGGTGGAATACAACCTTCTACCCCGGGATTCAAAGTTGGGTGATTAATGTTAGTTCACATTAAAATCATTCAATCACCAAAACACAAAAGGGGGGTGCTTATATTATGGAGCAGTAACAGTAAATGCAATGTATTTGTTACCAAGGTTAGCGCTGACAGCGATCAGTCATCAAAAATGCATTTACTAAACAATATGTGGTCATTTGAGGGATGTTTTGACAGTGAATCACTTAAATATTTTAAGGAGTAATGAACGATATGGAGCAGCCACAGTGGGCTGCAGGCTTCCAACTCTTCACCAAAGTTAAAACTCTTTTTCAAACTTTATTACTTTGCTCTGCTGTTTGGTGGAAAACTGCTCACGCCATGCTCAGCATAAAATCCAATCACGGTTGCCCATGGCATGATAGAAAAAGGCTAATATGACTGACTCTTTTATAAACACAAGACACGTTTGTTTGGTTGCACTGTAAACTGGTACACCAGTTGCTCTTCTACTGTATGTTTGACAAAATAACTGTGTGTTTACTCTCACCAATATTATGGGACCTGTAGTAACACTTGTTGAAACCACCAGTAACCACAGGAGCTGTGAAGTCAAATATGGATAAATAAGGATTACAACCTGGCTCGGTCAACAGGAAAAGGCCTTCTGCAAACTGTCTCGTCAACATTCCTGTCAGTGAAACATGTTCCTGGGGTTAACTATCGATGTTCTACACAATCTATTGTTTTGCTTTATTGGCATGACATGTGGCCTGACCTTCCAGTTGTAGGGTTCTGACCAGGGTGTGAAATTAGGACCCGCCACCCGCCAAACAAGAGCACATTTAGAGTATTGTGGCGATCTGTGCCTTTAAACATGCACACCCATCCGTCAACTCAAGGATTATCTATGCTCGCTTGTGTGCTTTGTGTTGTCTGCAGGTACCTTAGAAATACCTGGTTGTCAGGGATTATAAACATGGGTCCTTCGTGCATGTAAACATGCATGTAATGTTTTTTGTGTAAAAACATTATTAACATTATTAACATTAAATTATGCCTAAATTATCTCAATGTTATTCCTCCAATTAACGCAAAGATTTCAAAAGTGGCAGATTATGTTTTTGAGTTACAAAGACCAAAAAGTGCCACAGTGACAGGCAGTGGAAAAAGTTAATTTCAGACCCTGGTCCTGACTAACTCCCTGTAGTGTGAGGCAGACAGTGGTGGATTGGAAATGTATTGTTAGGCACGTACCCTCATCAGCACAGGAGAGGAAGTTCCTCTCCTCTTTGTTCCCTGATGGCCGCTGATGTGATTTGAAAGACTATGACAGGTCATGGTAACCCTCTGTGCATGGCTGACAGCTTCTGCTGTACCACGCTAACAATAGAAAGAAAGCCAGACTGTAACTCTGCGTCTGTTTCAGCAGGAGTCTATCCTTTCATTTTCAACACTACCCTGAAATCTGCGTTATCCGATTGTAATCGCTGAGCAACGTTATTGAGCATGCCTCTGAGGAGGAATATTGACATAAACACATTTAATAAGGAACAGTACAAAACAGGTACAGGTACAATAAGTCAGATCCTCATAGTGAAGCATTTTCCAAAGTGAACTTTCCAGACACATTTATTGGGCTGATAACATTACTCAAACACAGTGTATGACCATTGTAAACAATAAAACACAAAAAAAGGCATCAGACTTAGAACTGCTCCAGAATTCAAAGTGCGCCAAGCTTTTTAAAATTCTCAACTTTTGGTCTTTTTTTTTTAAATCCTCTTAATATATCTTTTGAATGTTAAGTCATTACTTTTCTTTACATATTCATTTTTCTGCAGTATTGATAATTATAATATGTACAAACGAGGCCAAGACACTGGTAGCTCTGAGGCCGTAAGACAGCCTGTAAATATTTGCTCTTCTTCCATGACATGACTCTAGTTTTGGAAAATGACAAGGTAAGGCTGTGCTCCCTCTCTGTTGGTTTTGCTGATTGCATGCCTTGTTGGTGACTGTAATGAAAAGTCTGTGTGAGTCTTGGTGACCACTTTGTCTTGACTGGCGGGATGGGGGCAGTGACTTAGTCCTTGGATTTTCCCACTGATAGCAACATCTTTATGTACAAAGGCTTTAAAGTCCCACCGTTGTCCTATTGGTTGGGAGGCTATCAAATAAATGCTTCCCCGTTATGTTTTAGCTTGTTTCCAAGTGTCTTTTTTTGGTTTTCTCCCAAAAAAGTATTGGTATCAAAATGTCTGTTTAGATATAGTTGTGCAGTGGGGGAAAGGGCTTGTTAGCATGTGTTAGAACAAGGGTTCAAACTGTTCTCAATGTATGAAAAGAAGAATCTCTTTGCTTGCAATGCAAAGTTCTTTACTTTGTATAATGTCCAGTGTTGTTTGTCTTTATACAATGCCATGACATAATCTTAGATGAGATGCAGCCTCAAGCCTGGTTTCACATCTTTTCCATCCTCCCCTCCGTCCCGTCGCCTCGTCCCTCTCTCCATCTCTGACACTCATCCCCATGCTCATCCAAGGGAGACTACTTTAGCAACCACTCGTTCACTGGAAGAGAGGAGAAGGACAGGAGTGAGAATACTGATTTATATATGCGGCGCTCGCCACAGTTCAACTATTCTCTGGCATTATTCACCCCCACCCTCCCCACGCACCATATTCCATCTTTAGTGATAACATACAATTTAAAAGAAATGGCCCTTGAGTGAATGGAGTGTAGGTGGGGGAGGGTGGGGGAGGTGAACTGGTGCCATTATGATATGAGCGGCAGTCTTGACAGAAACTTACACTCAAAACAAGGGGAACAAGAACATGAGTAAACATTTTAATTTGATAAAGGCTGTCTTGTTGTTATGTGAAAGAAGGCATTTATTGGAGTGCGTTATCATGAACATGTTTTCCTTTCACCAGGTGTTGACAAATAAAAAAGTAAACACACACATATGCACAGCAAACCTTCCTGATTTCCCATTCAGTTACCCTGATTAGAACCTCTCTGAACCTCCCTGAGGAAGGGAGGAGTGTATCTTGCTGCTCCCGGCACGGTTGACCTTACACAAATCACCATGGGGATGTATTTCCCCTTTTAATGAGACCCCCCCACCATCCCCACTTCATCTTGAAGGTCTTTAAATCTCTGAACAATTAAATGAGCATTGTAATATTTTTGCTTTTTGGTTTGCTCTCTCAAGGGTGTTTTTGTTTGGCAATCAGACGTGTGTGAGGTAGGTGGGGAGGGCAGAAATTTCCCCACAACTGCTGCACAGAATAAGAATTTCATCTTTTAAAGGTGGGGGGGGGGGGGGGGGGCAATCACTGTGCGTATCGGCCACAGCACTCCTGAGCAAAGAGAAAAAACCACAATGAATAGCAGGGACTGGAGTTACCGCTCGCCTTTAACGTATTTGCGCTTCAGGGGTGATATTCAACATTCTGTACAGCAGTTGCCCAGACACATTGGCTGAAACAGAGGAGAGGAGATGACAGACTGCAGCAGCACCTCCCAGGTTGCAGTGAGCTGTGACAAGCCAGTTTTCAGCCTCCCAACTGCCAGATCTGTCAGTCAGACCAAACAGGTGTACTGACTGTCCAGCCATCTGACTTTCTCCCGACTGTCTTCCCTCTTTCTCTTTAGCACATCAATCTGCAGTTTACATGCTATCAACTATCAGCTGAGTCCCAGCTCAGCACTCAAATTTGATATTAGTTCAGTTTATTAATTATAATGGTGAGCTTAGATCAAGCAATAATCCCCTTAAATTTCTGTGGATGTCATATCTAAAACAAATTACATCAGGGGCATTCGGGAGCAATATTCCCACCTGAAGCTGAGAGTTTGGTGATTAATAATTTAGCACGCTTACTGACCAAAAATTATATCTTGTCAGTTGCTTGTCAGAACTTCACAGGATGTAAATAGTTGTGAATGCAAACTGATAGCTGCAGGGGCTGCTATTGCTTTGAGTTTAATAAATGAATGCCTCTAAAGAGAATTAAGGTGAAACCTTCCCCTGCAATGCATTTTAAAGTCTTATTCCAGTTTATTACATCTTGGGTCTATATTTATGTAGAGAAGCATGAGCAGTGAGTGAGGTTATAAACAAACCCCCAGGTTGGTCATACAAGGCAGTAAAATGTTATTAGATGAGTCAGGTAAAAAAAACAAAAAAGTTAATATGATAACATGGGGCGTAAAAAGATGTCTTTTACTTATTCTCTAGTCAGTAGATAAGATAAATTAAAACTTAATCTCAATGAATTTTAACCTTCCATTAATCTTTCACTATTTCTCACTCCTTAGGTCCCTTTTGACCACCTGTTTGGCTTTAGGTTGTTTTTTTTTTACACCACATTTTAATAATTTAACTAATTGTATTATTTATTGATTTGATTGATTAAATAGCTATTGGTTTTGACTCATCTGACTACTTTTTGTTTGGCATTGATTTTGGGGCTCTATACAGCCGGACTTAATCGGCAGAGAATGTCCATGTACCTCCAAATTAATTACAGCTCTTTACATTAAAACACAGTAATAAGAAGATAATAAGGGGGTAATACATTAGGAGTTTACTTATTGTTATCACCAAGACATTACCAATAATCTGCCTAAAACTGTTGGCTTTAAAGCCTACCTGTTCAAGTGACTACTCTATTCTACTCTACTTTGTTGAATACATATTTATCATAACAAGACGGACACATAAGACACTAGCTGTAATAAACCAGAATTTTGCATTGAAGTAACATTTTGTGAAAACTTGTAAGTGTGGTAATACCATGTGTTGTTGCGCAATGGAAACACCAATGTACCTGCATGATTTGATTCACAATATCATTGTTATCAAATATAAATATATATGAACATTTAAATGTCAGTGGTGGAGAGAGGGAGATAATATGGCAGCAGGGTGAATTAGGTTATTGTTTCTACCTCGGTACTGGAGCTTCTGAGCCCTGTTGTTGGGGCAGTCTTTGCCCTGCATGCTGAAGTTGATGTTGGTGCGGATGCAGCGGTTGTTCAGTGGCTGGACCGGGCGAACGTTGTCACTCATGCTCAGGAAGATCTGAGATGGTTGGTTCTGGCTCAGCAGTCGCAAGGAGTGCATCTTAGATGAAGACAGAGACAGGGAAGAGGGAAAAGAAGCCTTTGAGAACAGGTTAGCCTAAACATCATGGAAATGGGAGCCAGGCATTTTGATCCACTGAAATATTTCCAGTGCAGGGCTGTATGGAGGATTAGGCAAAAGAAGAGCTGAGAGGTTCTGGAATCAAAGCCTCAGTGCTGGGCTGACATCGTTCATGGGGCAGAACTATGGTGAGAGAGAAAATCCTCAGCTGAGACAAACAATCCCCAGTGAATTTTGGGAGTTGTATTTCAGCCCTGGCTTGGCGGCTGAGGCTCACCTGCATGCGTGTGAGGTACACCGGCTTGTTCATCAGGATCCATGTGGCTGTCTCAAAGCACGGAGGGATGGTCATCGATCCTTCATATGTGATAAAACTACTGGTCTCTGGGTAAATCTCCTCTATGTTCAGGCCGGTCAGTAGATACGCATCATCTGCAAAAAAACAAAACCAAGAAGCGACCTTTAATGTTGCCTCAGAGGATACTGTACTGTTATTATTATTTTTTTCTATTTATTTTAACTATATTTTTACAGGGAAAACAGACTGAGATCTGGATCTCTTTTTAGGCTGGACCCTGTGTAAACATGTTAACATGTACAGTAGACACACAAACAAAAAATGTATTAAAATATACAAAAGCAAAAGTACACGTCAAGAGAAGCAATTAGATACAATATCATATTGATTCTCCATAAGATTTCTTAGTTGGCTAAATGATACCATTGTGTTTAACTTGAGTTTGGTCTGCAGTTTGTTCCTTAAATATATATGGAATTTATATAAGTGCTTTCTAGTGTCATTTACAATATAATTTACAACAAGTAGGGTGGCCGTGGTGCTGTGTTTAGGTCTTACTATACTATTAGCAGAGAGAAAAGATTGAAACTGTTTGTTGATTAACAATTGTAGGATTTTTGCCATATTAGGGACCCTAGAGATAAGTTGATAAGATGAGTTAACCATGTCAATGACATCACTTCCCTTATGCAATGGCAGAACAGCCAGAGTTGGACTGTTGGACAAAACTTTTACGAAACAAACTATTAATTCATTGATCAAGAAATAAACAGCAGATTAATCCATAATGTTAAAACAATCATGCTGCCCTAAAAGTGAAAACATTAAAAACTAGCTTCACTTTAACCAACAACATGAGCTAAATTCTGCTTAAAAACAATGCACCAGTAATCTAATGAAATAACTTGTAATAGTATAACCCTCAAGGGGACATTTTCTGTATTGAGTACTTTCACTTACTTAATGTACATTTTCCTAATAAAACGTTAGTAGTACTTTTACTTCAGTATGGAATCTGAATACTTCTTCCACCACTGGTTAAAAAAGATGCTAGAAGTATTGAGAGTGAACCGTATGAAATAGAGTTGTGGGCCAGACAGCATAACAATGAGCTGAAACTCACTGAAAGTTGAGGGGAGCTGCAGGTGATAATTCTCTTTATGTTAATCACTAGAAGTGACCCCTTTCACATTGTCACATTGTTGTTTGATGCAATGTTGTTATAAAAATATCCATTATAGCCATTAATAAATGGACCTTGAGTTAAGATTTCTTTGTTTAAATAGTATTGTTGCTACACATATAGCTTAGGTACATTCTTCTGTGCAGTTCTTTGGATGTATATATGTATGCATGAATCACTGAAATTTTTGGATTCAGTCTGATAGCCATTCAGGAATCAGGATTCATACTGGTCTGCATAAAAGCGTCAGCAGATACAGCTATCTCAACCAAATCCTAATTTTACGACGTCACCGAATGGCGTATTTACACATTAACGTGGGATATTTATCAAAATGTTGTACATGTCATCTACGTGTTCCATTGTGGCCATTGTTGAGGGTAATATACAGAGCATGCATTTGTCACAAATCTGAACAGGTCAAAAAAATCTTGGAGAGTAAAATGTGCTGGGTAGCGAATAGGAAGTCCTTTCAGATAGCAGACATGATCTTGTTTCTAACTTTTAACTAATAGTTACCTATTAGTTAACCTAATGCATCCTTCTTTTAGCGTGCAGATGGTAAACTCACCCCCCACTACTCATCACTGACTGAAATGAGCTCATCTGCCATAACACATTTTTCTCACTTCTCATTTCACCTATCATGTACTGTTCTGTGAATGACAGGCTGTTGGTGTTGCAGCACAAAACCTCTTTTATCCAAACTGTCTCCGCTGTCAGGATGCTAATTAGACAGACTGCAACTCTCTCCCTCTTCACACTCCAGAAGCACGCTATCAATAACTTGTCATCTGTTGGGCTGTTGACAAATGGACTGCCTATTGTGATGAGGTCACTGTGGTGGACCACTGCAGCTTTAATGCTAATTCGACTGTTCTTTGCACCACTATTAAATACTGCATCTTACGCACTGCAAAAGAATATTAGTTTAAAAAAGAATTTGAATGATAGGCTTGATTTGAGAAAATCCCCATAAAAAATCTCCTTTATATGCTATTACCATTCCACCTACAACATGAGCAAGTGAAGAGTATTTCTACTGCTGATCTTTTATTGTGTGGTTGAAATAATTAATTCTCTTTGAATGGTGTGTTTTTTATGTGTAGTATATGTGCTTTTAAAAAAGCGTTAGGCCTTCATGAAGGGGCTGTGCCACTGTGTGTGCACTATTAGTCAGTGTATCTGAGGGACTTTTGACAGCTGTCAGAATCCTTGCTGCTCCAAAGCTGGACCTGAAGGATCCCCCCACCCCCTCTTCCGTGCCACTGAGACTCCTCCCAGCCACAAGGGGTCAGTGCCTGTATCCAGCCATTCATTGCTCTCCCCATTAATCCAATTATTTGTCTCTTTTTTCAAGCTAGCCTCAGGCAATCTCCGTGCCGATGCTGCCTCTCCAGTATGGCAGGCTGGCAGAGGGAAGCCTCTGGAGAGCAGCTGTCGAATGCTGCCTAACACGCTGCCTCACAGACAGCCTCCGCCAGCTATCAATAGTTCCTATGCAGGAATCTCACCATCCCCATTCTGCAGCATCCCTTCAATTACCTCAAAAATTGACTGTTTGCTGACAGCTTCGTCTAAACAAATAAAGATACATATGTGTATAAAATATAGTAAAGATACTGTATATATACAGATTATTTATAAAGAGATTGGGTGTGGGTCCAGTTTTTTCTTACAAAACCAAAAACACAAAATCAAAAGTTTATGGCATGGATTAAACAGTGCAAACATTAGCATGTCCTTAACTAGCTAGCAGAAGTCGCTGGTATTTACCCAGGGAGCCTCGGTCTGACTAATATACTTTATACTTTACAGTGAGCAAAACCGTGCAAAGGGGTGGCCACAGCCACCAGCCCTTTAATTACCAGCACACACAAAACAGAAAGCAAGAACACACAGAACAGTCAGTCACTATGTACAATAAAGGGAAGTACCCCAACTCAGTCTTTCTTGTTTTCCTACAGTTCCCAAAAAGGCGTTGCCTCATATGGTGGACAGCATAAGCTTCAGGCTCCTGGGAATACTCGGCCCGAGTGAAGAGCAGACAGTTAGCTGTATAACTCTGGACTTCAAGGACAGGCAGGCTAACAACAGACGGACTTTTTACGCCCTGCCAGGGGTTGGCAGGCTAGATGCAGACACTCATGACGAGCTGACCACTTCATTGTGTGCACCAGCTGTAAGCACGTGTCATACTGTTTTTTAAACAGCCATTCAAACAGCTAGGGGTGTGTGTGTGTGTGTGATGTAAGGGGTACGTCCTTAAAGGTGCCAACTGCCACAAGCTACTATTTTAGATTCTCTATCCTGCTCTATTTGGAAAGTTTATGGTCTAGCTGCAATACAAGAATAATGCTGTTTCTTTACATCCATGGCTTTTCTACATGGATCATCAACTGGTGTGGATGCTGTCTGAAATAAAAGACCTGTTGTTTAAAAGAAATAATTACAATTTTAAATGGTAAATCTGTCACCATTAGCATGTGGGAAAAAACAGTAAGTAAAGGGAGCAAGGCTTAGTCTTAATTAGTACAGACCTAATTAGTACAGGACATTCACACTTACTTTTATATGTTATTCTTGTGATGGTGTCTCTGTTCAGCATTCGATTGAGGAATGAGTTGGATGTCTCAGCAATCTGGATTAAAAGAGAGAGAGAGAGAGAAAAAAGGTGTGAAGAATTGAGAGCCAATCTAAAATTTCACAATAACAATAGTCAACACAATTTCAATCTACTCAGTTCAGTACTTTAAAGGATAATGCATTTCTATCACCTTTAATGCCCATAAAATGTGTAAACCCACTGATGTATTTTGCACAGTCAGAAGCTCCTACACTCTCTTGTACTGGTGATTTGGCTTCTGGAAAACAAAGGCTCCCACTGTTTTCAAGACACCATTAAAAACAGCTCACAGAAACACACTGCTGCCATGACAAAACAAAATCTATCTTTTTAAATAGCAAATACATTGTATTCTTGACCTAACATGACTTTATAATGGATCCAAACAAGTTTTATTCTATCAGAGGCCTATTTTAGAACTTTGTACACAGTCAGGATACCTGTTTCCCCCTGCTTCCAGTTTTAATGCCTCTCTATAGCTACGTACTTACTGTAGAGACATGAGTGGTATTGATCTTCTTATCTAGTGAAAATGAATAACATGAAGGACAGAAAATATGATAAAGTGATGATATCTGGCAGTTGTTCATTTGGCATTTTAAAGTGAATAACCAGAAATTTCAGTACAAAGTAATTAAGTCTATTGCTGGCCTGGTCCGTCCCAGTGATGGGGACTCGAGTTAGAGACTCAGACTTGAGTCCAACTTAAGTCGCACACACAGTGACTTGAGACTCGACGTGAGACTCGTCCTCAAAAGACTTCAGACTTGACTTGGATTCGAGGTGCGGAACCCCTGAACAATGTTTATTTTTAGGGAACGTCTGATGAGCGTGCTGTTATTCCCCTCCCACCGTTACCTATAACCTGCGCGGCCGCACGTGAGAGAGGACAACAAACAGCGGCAGCTGCTGAGCCATTCATCAAAAACTTTGGCTTTAAAACTTCACACAACAAGACCCAAACAAAGAAGCGCTGAACGCAAAATAGGTTAGTTACCTGAGGTTAGTGAACATGTTTAGCTCAGCATTGGCCAACTAACGTTAGCTTGCTTCTTGCTTTAGCTATGACCTACAGGAGGTTAACCCCGGCTGTCGTTACTTATGAAAAGATGAATGAGTTTATTTACTTGCCAAACTTGCGGTGGTCGATTTACGTAATAATTTACATCCCGCTGGTTGCCATCACGTTAATTATTAATGACGGCTGCAAACAGGTCACAGGTTTATTGTTGATCATGCAATGTTACAGTTTTATTTTGTTATAACGTTACACTGGTTTGAGAGTCTGGTGGATGTGTTGACTTACAGTAGTTAATCAGTTGTGATTAATTGCATTTCACATTACATAGATGTGCTCTGTAAATGAAAAACAGGCTACAGTTACAGAATTCCTCATAACTATGCAGTTTTTTAAGCAGCCTGGATTGAATGCAGCAGGTGATATAGCATTCATTATAACCACGAGAGACTTGAGACTTGACTTGGACTCTAGCTCAGAGACTTGAGACTTGACTTGGACTCCAGCTCAGAGACTTGAGACTTGACTTGGACTCTAGCTCAAAGACTTGAGACTTGACTTGGACTCCAGCTCAGAGACTTGAGACTTGACTTGGACTCTAGCTCAAAGATTTGAGACTTGACTTGGACTCCTGCTCAGAGACTTGAGACTTGACTTGGACTCTTGCTCAGAGACTTGAGACTTGACTTGGACTCTAGCTCAAAGATTTGAGACTTGACTTGGACTCCAGCTCAGAGACTTGAGACTTGACTTGGACTCTTGCTCAGAGACTTGAGACTTGACTTGGACTCCAGCTCAAAGACTTGAGATTTGACTTGGACTCCAGCTCAGAGACTTGAGACTTGACTTGGACTCTAGCTCAGAGACTTGAGACTTGAGACTTGACTTGGACTCCAGCTCAGAGACTTGAGACTTGACTTGGACTCTAGCTCAGAGACTTGAGACTTGAGACTTGACTTGGACTCTAGCTCAAAGACTTGAGATTTGACTTGGACTCCAGCTCAGAGACTTGAGACTTGACTTGGACTCTAGCTCAGAGACTTGAGACTTGACTTGGACTCCAGCTCAGAGACTTGAGACTTGACTTGGACTCTAGCTCAGAGACTTGAGACTTGACTTGGACTCTAGCTCAGAGACTTGAGACTTGACTTGGACTCTTGCTCAGAGACTTGAGACCTGCAGTTAGCTACAGTTAGCGTGCAGTTAATTGGTGAAAAGAGTGGTGGTGACAACAGAAGGAGCCTAACAGGACAATAGTATACAAACTGCTATAGGGTGTAATTGGTTGGGTGCTGGTTATGGTGTGGATTTTCTACCCCTAACCCTAACAACAAAAAACATTTACTATCATTGATGATAGAAATTACACTCCACCCTTATTTCACCCTGAGCATTATAGTAAGTCAATCACAGGTTGGTCATTGGTTCAGTGACAAAGTCTTTTTATTTCCAGTGCCAGCATTTAAAAAAATTCTTACTTTTTACTTTTCTATCTGCACATGGCAACTGCACTAATGGTAAAGTTTAAGGAGATACTGTGGATTTTAATACAAATAAAAAGACAAATGCTAATTGCAGGTTAAAAAAAATTAGGCATACTATGTGACAGGTTACCCCAGGTAAGGTTAGGGTCAAGAGCTGAGCTAAAATAAGGTGACAGCCTTTGAATCTCCAAAACAGCAGTTCCCTCCTCTCTGCCTGCAAGGCTGACTGACTGATGCAGCTGCCTCGATAAGGATGCACTCTTTCGTCCATCTCAAAGCCAAGATTATCTATTTTTTGTTTCATTACAGACAGACTGACTGGCTCTATGTAGAAAATGTTGCATGTGACTTGAATGACATACGTCACTTAGGTAAGCATAGTGTCTTGTTTTAAACCAATAGCCAACAGAATTTTCACACTTGTATAGAGGAGTGAACAATAGACATTAGTGGATACTTAGTGAATCTCTGTCGGTGTAGGAGGGCTGAATGTCCCAAACAGGAAGTATCCTTCGGAATTGGTTTGGTACTACATTGTGTCCGCACTCTGCACGCTGTTGCCAGTCTCCCCGACCGGGTCTCAATAAACAATTCTTTGTAAGACATCATGAGTTTCCTGAGATCTTCTAAGAATAAGAGTTGACCTGCCCCCAAGAAATTTCATAACACACGTTGGTGACGGAAGTCAGGTCTCCTGCGTGAAAGTCAGACTCGCCCTGACCTCCACACCCTTACTTTCCACCTCACTACGTTAGGGCAAACTACTTATTGCACAGGCACTGAACGTTGGTATTGGATGACACTTGCTGAAAATGAGTGGAGAATATATATTTGACAGAAGCCACATGAAGCTACAGAGTAGATCGAACCAGGCATGGAGTCAGACACAGAAACAGCATAGAGCAGACGGAGGACGGAACAAAACCGTGACGTCATGGGGCATAACTCCGCTTGAGCGTAGAGTAGTCTGAGAAGTCAATGGCTGGCGGAAGCACCTCACACTTCGTGTCCTCCCTCACACCCTTCTTTGATTCCTCCCTGCCTTCCCCTCCACTCTATCTATCCCTCACTCATGCTAGTTGAACTTCACTCAAGTCTAATTGTCGAGATGTCTTTGGGTGAAGTGATTAAAAAGAGATGTGCTCGTCCTCCTCCTCCCCTCACTGCAGCTAGAATTACTTAGTCTTTGACCTGTTCCCTGTGCTCTTCAGGCAGGCATTATGCCTTTACCAGCCACTCATGCTGTTCACAAGTTTTGCTACTTTCTGTCTCTCACATTTTCATCGTTTTCCTAGAAAAGCACCCAAGGGGATTCAGTCAGTCTGTCTCTTCCATTCCAGGAAAGTCTGCACATTAGATTTGAGAAAGGATTTAGCACCATATGAGACTTAAAGACACATCTTTAAGATTCACATATTTCTTGCTGTTACATCAATCGACAATCAAATGAGTGTATCAGTGAGTGAAATGGGCTTGCATTCACAGTAAATGCCTGCCCCGGTGTCTCTCTATTGTGTGTCTGGTTTCCACAGAGGTCCCCGCGTTGTTGCAGTCACCCACTGCTGACCTTATTGGTGCCTCACGACAACACGCTCAGAATGGGGGCCTTTCTTGGCTTTCTGAGTCACAGCGATGGGATCGGAAATCTGACAAGGCCATTTCTGCATGAGTCACTGAAAAGTGAGAAAAATTTGCTCCTGCTTTGAAAAAGATGTGGCTAATTACCACCTGTCTGCTCAATGCTACTAAGACTCTGACCCGGTGTAACACGCTCAGACAGTGGAGAGGAGAGATGTTAGCAGAAAACCAGTTGGAGTGCAGTTGGGCGTTGGGTGTGTGAGTGGGTGGCAGGTGAGTGCATCTGTGTGTGTGCATGATTTTTTTTATCTCTTAAGATATTACTGATCCTTTTTGTTTTGACATGTGGGCATTAACAAAATTGTCTTCCTTGGATTTCACTACTTCTGAATTAGCCCTGCTGCAATGTCTTTAAAAGAATGTCGTGCTAGAGTATTTATCCAAAGCTTAACAAAAAGGGATCAACATTTCTTTGATCTTATTTTACAGGGATTGAATGCTTATCTGTTGCTGCTTTCTGATTTAGATTCATTAAAAAGTATTGCAGCTTTAAAGAGAATTCTTGGAAATGCAACATTATGACTATACTGTATAAGAAAATACTGTATAAGAAAATAAGATACAAGCCTGTGTATGAAAACATACATAAAGAAGTGACTTCTGAGGTGCTTTTCGCTCAAAAACATACAATGGCTGACTTTAAAATGGCATCAAAAGAAGAAGTAGGGTGATGTATTATAAATAGCAAGAAAGTCTGCATAAGAAGGTGTATGGGGTGTATGGATGGGTCAAACCAACCCAGGACTTTCACACAGGACAACGGCGTTCGAGTCCAATGAGAGACCAAGTAAATGGGGAGTTATTTTCATTTTTAAGTTAAATAGTATTAATGACTTATGTCACGTGTGTTATTTGTTAGAAGTGTCACGCCCTGAAGAATTTGTAAAAAGTAAGAAGTCAGGTCTCATGATGATACAAGAAATTGAGTTCTGTCACATGGTATACGTCATGTGACTGGCGCAGTGTACTTGTTTTAACCCAAACCACCATGTTTTCCTAAACCTAGCCAAGTAATTCTGTTGCCTAAACCTAACCAAACATCCACAACATCAGAATGTTAACTACGTGTTTAATGTCACGTGTTTAATCATGTGTCACGTGTTTAATGTTATGTAGTTAGACCTGGTGAGACTTGCGTCACGTGACATGACATGACAAGTCATGTTGTTAAGTTCCGGTTGTTGCAGAAAAAAACATACTTTCTCTGAAACTAAGCTGTAATAATCAGCTGCCAACTTTTCAATGTAGTTTGGAGTGAGATTTGGTATTGCAGATCGGTTCATTTTAGGCCTTCTGTGTCATATCATATCGCAGGGGTCGGGGTCATTACTCTTTAATCTTCAGGAATTTGGTTTTGAAAGTTCAACAGCCACATGCATGTACAGATGAAAAGCCAAGTCAATAATCATGGTCAGATCAGTGTGATCAAGATACTTGCCAACCTCCAGACATGATGGCCTTAATTTTGACCAAACCTAACCATGTATTGGGGATTCTTCCCCCACAGAATCTATGTGTCAAACCAAAGACTGTATTTCTTTTAATTGTAGAGAATGTTTGGAATATTAAAGCAACAGCTTAAGGAAACCCTTAAGCAGTGGAGGAGCCACTTAATTGGGCAGGTTGTCTGGGGGTCCTCCCCCATCAAATTTTTAGCATTAACTCTTAATTTCCTGCATTCTGGTGAAATTTCCTGCACCAATTCTTGCCTTTTCTGGATCAATTTATGGTGGAACTGTTTTTATCTAGGCTATGTCAATGGAAACACAAAACTCAGGTGACAATTTAAAATATAATATACCAGAATAGAATCAGTATGCATGGCTTTCAAGCATTCTGTAGGCCAATTTCTTTTTCTCTCATGATTTAGTCTTCCCTCCTCTTTGTGTCTTTGTTTGGGGAAGTTCTTCTTTAAATGCGGCACCTTTTCACCTCAAGGATAAATTAATTCATTTTAATTCAGTTAGGAATTTTTACAGGACTTTTATTTCCCAAACCATGGATGCTGGAAAAGTCTCCTGACTTTCTGTGTTTGTAAAATGTGTGGCACCTTTAAGATGCAATGAATACTCTAAATGTGCATGGGTAGTATCATCATATTATAAATCTTTTCTTTGACAGCTAAGCCTAACAGCAGTGTGGAACTGCATGGTTCTGTTACAGGGCCATTTGCTCTTTCTGTCGTATCTGGAATACACACCTGCAGCCCATCTCCTCTCTCGTACGTCCTCCGACACGCTCTCCTGCTGGTTAGTGGGGGGAGTCAAGGAGGGTTCACCTAGGTCAGCGTCTCCTCTGTCTCTTCAAGACTAAATGATGATCCCATTGACATTGGGGAGCTAATTAGCAGTTAGCAGCTGAACTTTTCAGCCTTAGTGCGCACAGTGCTGAGGACGTCGGCTGCCTCTCTGATCTCTGAGCCTCTCATTCAAGATGGAGCCCTCTCACAGACAACAAAGAGAGAGGGGAGTACTGCCACCACCGCTGACACAAAGCCAAGAAGCACAATGTTTTGCTCTGTAAGATAATTGGATTGCTAATTGTTTGTGAGTCGTGAGTGGAACATTTAGAATATTTCAGGCAAAGACACAGAGGAAGCAGTGGGAGCACTGAGGCTGTCATGCTGAAGGATAATTCAGCTCCTGGCAGATTTCTTCTAAAAACAATTTGTGGCTACTAGATACAAACACAGATAATCAGCCCATTTTGGGTATTAAAGGTAGATCAGAATATTAACAAAAATAGAATGAACCATGATTCAATTAAGTTGAATATGGACATCATCTGACACTTTGTTAAATGAGAACCATACAAAATAACCCCTAAATTGCATCCAAATTTGACATAAATTTCACTTTCCTCTTTCAAAACTTACATAATAACTGTTTTTGCTCTGTTTTCACTCCCTTTATTCACAGATATGTGGCACACACACTAAATTTCTTGCCTATGTTATTCATGACTATTATAATGATGCTGGGGACACAGGGAAGACAGAAACGCAGCGAAGCATCAGTTCTCGTGCGAACAGTAGCTTGACGGTTCGCATCAAAAGCACATTTCTATGTGCAGCTCAACAAGCTATTCTGCTTGTTCTGCAGAGTTCAACAGGCTTGACACACATTGACTGATATAGTAGACAAAACCAAATTATAACATTTAAGTTTAAAACAACAAGGCTGAAACTTATGAAATTATTATTTGGTCAGCCCTGTGATAAAAGTCTTGTAAAAGACCTTAATGTATCTTTACCTTTAATGTAAAGTTATCTAAAAGACTTGGTGGATTCCTTTGAGTGATTTAGTACTTAGAGCCTGCTCATTTTGTTTCCGTGGCTGAATGTGAGTCTGAAGACATGCCTCGGTCATCTGTTCCATTAGTGTAGTCAACAATACAATAATGAAAAATGATCTCATTAGGTGCAATCCCAGTTCACAGCCTGTACAGGTCACCAGTCAATGACAGGGCTGACACATACAGACAGACAACCAATAATGCTCACATTTACACCTACTGGCAATTTAGACTGGCCTGCATGGACTGTGGGAGGAAACCCATGCAGGCAGCAGGCACGGGGGAGAACATGGAAAATACTGTATATACTGTATGTATACACAAAAATAAACATACTTTTATAATTACTTTAACGAGGCTACTTAGTTTCAAATATGTATGAGTGTATGACATATAATCTATAGGTATTTTAAAATACATGTACTAAGTCTATATTTTCATGGAATTTGCCACTCCTGTAGGCCATTTTCACTTTTCACAGAAGACACTTTGACACATAGGAAAACACAGGTGTAAATAATTAAATGGATGAATTCCATTTATCTGCTTCAGGAGACCCTTTTCCTGGCAGACCTTTTGACATGTCATAACAGGAGAAACAGAGACAGAGCCATTAACGTTATCAGTACCACCAGCACTTTAACGACAAGTCAAAATGTCTGCCAGGAAAAAGGCCCATTGATTATTTTAGTTTCCTTTGGAATTCAAATGGTTTGAGTTTTTGCCACCAGGCATCCCATTATAGTTTGGATCATGCAAACAAATGTCGCCATGGAGTCAGCCATGAGCTGCAACCGAGCTCTGTTTGTTTTTTCCCCTTAACAATTTACTGGATTACTTTTGATCCTGAAAATAAATCTTAATTTTGATAATTGTGAGGCAAGATTTCTATTCATATGATTTGTAAAATTCTCCAATTGCATTGTATAAACTGCTGGAAAGAGTCAAGCTGATTGCAGCCGCATGTATGATATTGGCGCATTCTTGTTTAACTGAGTTAAGACACTGTTTCAGAAGAAGGTTGCAAGATGAGACAGAAACTGCATTAATTGGGTTTAAAGGGTCAATAACTTAAATCTAAATGCTGTTTCAGAAGTTTTTACTGCCTGAAAAGAAATAAAAATAGGAGGGAAAATTTTTGTGACCATGTCAGCGGTGCTACACGGAAACACTTAAATGAACACTTGGTCCACCTTTAACTGAGTCTCGTCTGTAATGAACACCATGTTAAGTCCTGTTCCATTTTGCACTATATGTTCCTACATGTATTATACACTGTAGCTATCCTGTAATGCTTATACATTGATTAAAACAGGTCAAGGTCCTTGTAAAGCTGGACTCAAATTCAGTATCTATAGAGGGATATGAAAAAACTCTCCAATACAATGATTAGTATTCTGTTGGATTGCCAAGGTATAACCCATTATAAAATGTCACCATAGCAGCTGCTGGGTAAAAAAAAAATGTTTGAGTGAATACAGCCTACACACTGGCAGTTTTTAAACATATGTATGAGACTTACCTTCATGAATATAGACACTATGACCAGTCCATTAGGGCTTTTAGCAGCTTCTGTATAATTTGTATACAGCTCGTGATTGTAGTGGATCAGTTGAACCTGGAACATACAGAGAGAGTTAATGTAGAGAGTTACTGAAATAAAATCATAAAATTACATTTTTGGCCAGACAACTTAAACGGTATGATAAGGAGACACAAGGCTGATATCCAAAGTGAGTACAAAATAGTGGAGACCGTGGAGTTGTAAACCCCTCTAGAGAATCTATATCTCAGTTGCTTGAAGTTAAGAGTCCCTCATTCACCTAAACCCTTCCTCGTTGCTACATCATGTCAGATGATTTAAAAAGGAAAATCAATATGGGATCAAGTCTCTCCCGTGGATTCACAGAGACACTCAATGAAATGTAAGGAGCTGATGTTCGGAACATTTGTGTACTCGAAATAGATGTGGATAGAAGTAATAAGAGGGACAGACAAGGATTCTGTCATCATTTGATCCAAGGCCAGCCTGCTCTCACAGACTGAGGTGAGAACAGCTAAACCATCTCCCTGTATGAGGTTAATGTTTCATTGACGCAGGTGCTTCATCCACTCCAGCTGTTCAATATTCCTGCCTTTAATGATGTTTGGGCGTGGGCAGGCACGCTCAACTTCCTTCTCATAAAAGTGCATAATGTTGAAAGTGTTGCCCACGGTTTTAAAACCCCGTGAAAGACAGCAACGATGAGTCCATCTCTATGTATTTTAAAGTACATTTTTATGAACGTTGTAAGCCTTTATTAATTAGTCCACAGTAAATAGACAACAGGAAATGAAAAGGAAGAGAGATGGGGAGTGGCGTGAAGTGGAATGTTGCGATTCACCATGAAACAGGAAGCAGAGAGTGCTTTTTGCTTCCACATATTTACGTGTTTCCTATAAAAACACAAAACTAGGTACTTGACGAGGTACTTGACGGGGATATTACGCCCCCTGCCATGCAGAATTTGTGCAGAATGGAAGCTCCCAGTGAGTGAACACGGCAGCCGGAGCGGAACCAAACACAGCCTCCGAGACTGACCGGTTTGACGACAGGGAATACAGTACCGAGCTGATTTTCTTGCTGGGTTTGACTCAGCTAATAGGATTGCTGGCTGCACGGCTAACTGAGCTAACTAGTTAAAGGTTCAAGTGTGTAAGATTTAGTGGCGGTAGTAGCAGTCCAGTCTACCACTGCCCCCTACACTTTCAAAGAGCGAAGGACAGCTACGGCGGATGACACAGCACAAAAGGTGTCTCTTCTGAGACAGCAGAGATTAGCCAGTCAAGAAATGAGGTTTCTTTAGGTATATTTATTAAGAAATTATATTCACTTAATTATTCAGTAAAACCATATGTTATTGGTGACTTGCGCAAAATTGAATGCACAAAATTGAATAATGAATTCTGTAGTAGTGTATTGCGCACTTTTAATTTAAATGTACTGCTATATCCCCAAAAGTGCAATAATATTTTTATTTTACCAGCAGTATTCCCTTTACACAGTAGCAATAACATATTTATATATTCTCAACTTAAACATTAATGTAATCAGATCAAATATAAAACCAAAGCTATTTGCCACTGCCAGGGCTTTACCTTTTATCTAGCTTGTTAAAAGTTCCCATCAGAGTCCAGAGCCACGGTCATAACATCATAACAGGCACCTTCTGAGCAACAGGTTAACATATATAAATCTGTTGTTTTTTTTTCTGAACAGGTATCAGCAGAAACATTTTTCTTTTATCAGGGAGCAGCAGAAACAGACTACGTACAGTAGCAAGTGTCTGTGAGCTGAAGGGCTCGAGCAACGCGCGTTATGGCATTTGTGCTCGCCTCACGCACACACCCGCCCGCTGCTGAAGTTGATTTGCCTTGAACTTTTTGTACGCAACTCGCAGCACAGATCATTGGAGGAGAGACTGATCCTCGCTGTTTGAGTTTCCAGAATCTATTACTGTTTACTAAATAGTTATCAGGAGATCAACAGGAGGGAATTCGCATGGCAGAGAAAACTAAATGAAAGCCTATCAGGTAAATTTATGTAGCCTATAATTTTAATTTAAGTTAAGCTGTGTAGCACACAGAAGCCGTTGCCATGGTTACTATCCATAGAGCGCCTGCTGTTTACTTGCGGAGCGCTGTTTCCCTGCCTGATCACTGGAGCAAAGAACAGATTATGTCAGATTATGGTGATTTTATAGCGGCAAAAAATATAAATAAATAAATACTTTGATAGTGGTGCTGAAATAGATCTCAGTCATGACAGCAACAGTTACTCACATAATCACTTCCTCTTTAGTGGTTTTGCCTACAAAATAAAAGTGCAAGAAGCTTGCCTGCTGTAATGCTTTATATGGAGTTGAATTGAGAGCTTTTACTTTGTACGATATTAAAAGAGTCTGTAGCCTGCTTGACACAACTCTGAAAGAGCAGAAAATGTGATGCCCCTAAATGTCTTCTGCCTGGAGATACTGGGTCCGTAGGTTGATGGATGCGGATCAAAAACCAAAACACACATACTGCTGCACATGCCGTAATGTGAGCATGAGAAACAGTCGCTGCAGAATCCGCAAAACTGTTCGCTTTTCAGTTACTGTAGAAACATGATGCCGCTACATGGCAATGTCCATGGAATGGGGGACCCGCAGTTATGTAGATATAAATGACTCATTCTAAGGTAATAAAAATACTGGATTACCTGTTGGTCTAATAGCTGGTTCTGCTGCATTTACTGGGAGGCTGCAGAGGGCGTTGCAGCGTGGGCCAAACTAAAATAAAGATTGTCACTGTGATAACTTTCTACAGTTTTATAAACCTCACTTTATAGTGCAGTGTTTTGGCGTCTGATAAGTCTTCAAACTCATCAATCTATTACTAAACTGGGACCAGGCATTTCATTGTTTCATCAGTAGCCCCTAGCATTCTTTTAATGCAAAGGGGTTTTTGGTCTGAACAGCCGTGAAAAAAATTAATTATGGTTTATACTGGCGATGATTATAATGTAACAGGCCTTTTATAAATAACCAATTCCTCTCAAAATGTATCATTACCTTAGCAGCTCATGATCACGTAAATACTTGACATTCAACACCCTAACAGCAAGGACTAGGCTTTCCTTCATTTTTTGTGGGTTATGTCCAGTTCTGTCCAATTCTGAACTGTTCTGGGGACAGTGTAAAAAAAAATAAAAAAATAGTGGGGTTGCAGCTTTAGTGTTTTCCTCTAGTGAGGAGGAAACTTTGATATGTAGTGTCAGAAACTGGTTTCCATGAGATGAGAGATCTCTCTGTGATAATTAAGTTACTTTATATATTATTATACTTTATCTTATCTACGTTAGTTCAGTATAAACCTATACTGTGTGTGTGTGTATATATATATATACCTAATTATAAAATATAAAAAAATAAAAGTAGCTAAGGTGTAACTAAGCTACTTTTGCCACACTGCTGTAGCTTAGCTTGCTACATTTCACTGAGGGGTAGCTTCTGTGTAGTGAAGCTTCATTTAATGTAGAGTAGCTAGCAGCTTAGCTCACTACATTTTCCAAGTAGCTTGCCCAACACTGATAACTGCAGTACTATTGCTGAGGGTTGTTGAAAAATGATGAATGAAAATGAAAAATGAACTCGCCTCTCTTCATTACCTAAATCAGCAAAACTTGCAGCCATACTACTATAACCTAAAGCTTCTAATTTATTACCATTGGGCTGTAGTACTTAAGTGCTTATTTCAAGCCAAGAGAGGTGGGAATGATTTTCAGATCTTTTCCAATGGCTTACTCTTCATAAACTTCTCATCCTCACTCACTGGCAAAGGGCTCAGCACGTACTGTACTGGATGATATAAATAAACAAATGTAAGAAGAGAGTAATTATGAAATGCTCGATTAGGGGAGCACAGAGAGCGACAGAACGTCTATAAATGCAATCAAGGCGAGAGAGGAAGTGATTAGAGCCCTACAATGATCTGATTAGATTTTTAGGTGGGAGCGGCAGAGGCAGCCAAAAGAGCTCATCCGCACTCCCTCAATGACAAATTGCACAACATTTGCTGCTGGTGGGCAATAAAAGGCCAGTGTAAAGTGAGAATGTCTGCCAAATGGAGAAGAAAAAAAAGAGGGAGATGCAGAGCAAAAGAGGGAGAAACTAGAGGCCGTAATTAGATACAAAAACAGTTGAAGAAATAGCATAAGAGAAGAGCTGCTGCATGTTGGCCAGACCAGACCAGTGAGACTGCATCATTCATCATAGTGTCCCTCAGTTCAAACCCAGACTCACACTAACAACTAAATACAGTAACACCTCCACCCATCTCACAGGTACATTCTATTAAGATTCTGTCATAACACTCACATGTTACGACAAGAGATGCAGACAGATTATCTAATATATAATATTAGACTACTATAATATATAATACGGTGTGACAGATGTTACAGAGTTAGTACAAATTGGGGTTGGGGTTCAATAGCACTTCATCTAATCAGAATCCAGTATTGAATCTGCTTATCAATTCGAAATCCTATTTAGGTTCATTTTTTCAGTATTTGTAAGTAAACTTAGAAACTCCAACATTCAGTTGAGATCTTTATTCAGTTTTTGTTTTCTGAGAAACTAGGTCACGTATAAACAAGTGATCATATATGGAGGGGAGATGGTAGACCCCGTTTTTGGTGTCAGACGTGAACATCCTCCTTGATCGTTCTCTGGCTGGTCCACACTGATATAACTGTTGGTTGATCGATAGCCATGTCATTTTGTACAAACATTCATGGTCCCCACAGGATGTGTCCTGCTGACTTTGAGGATCCCCTGCCTTGTCTTATTCCCACCATGAGACTGACATTTGTGGTTATAAGTTATATATCTTAACTATTACAATGATGAAATCCATGTACAGTAAGGATGATTTGTAGCTGTGATAATCCTCTGCGCCGTCATCAGGCCGAAATTTCAGTTTGTCCAATACGTTTGTCCAATTAGGTTTATTTCCCAGTAGTGGGGGTGGTGATGGCGCATAGATAAGATGCTTTGCTTTGGTGTGGGAGACTTGTCTTCAATTCCCACTGTGAGA